CGCTTAACCAACTGAGCCACCCAGGCGCCCCTCTGTATTTTTCTTATAGCAGTCTGAATGAACTAGGACAGAAGACTTAACAATTTGACATTTCTCAGAATACCTCTGCCCCAAAATATACATACCCAAGTACAAACACATGCACAGACTCACACCAGAATATGAGCCTTCTAAAATAAAAGCATTAGCTTTTCTCCCCCAGGCTTGGCATCGAGGACTTACTTTGAGAATGGACCTACCCTATGAGACAAGAGATGCAGGAAATTTTACCTGGATTGTTTTTAGGTCCATATTCTTCTGCTATGAAAATCAAGCTACCTATACTACAGAAATATGGAATAATCCATATAATATGCATAAGACAAAATATTGAAGCAAACTTTGTTAAACCAACTTTCAACAATTATTTAGATATTTAGTCTTGGATATTGCAAATAATCCAGTTGAAAATATAATACATTATTTTCCCATGACTAAAGAATTTATTGATGGAAGCTTCCAAACTGGAAGAAAAGTTCTTGTCCGTGGAAATACTGGGATCTCCAGCAGAGCTGCCTTTGTTATTGCATTCATTATGGAAACATTTGGAATGAAGTACAGAGATGCTTATGTTCAAGAAGGGTTTTGTATTAATCCTAATGCTGGATTTGTCCATCAACTTCAGGAATATGAAGCCATCTACCTAGCAAAATTAACAATACAGATGATGTCACCACTCCGGATAGAAAGGTCATTATCTGTTCATTCTGGACCCACAGGCAGCTTGAAGAGAACACATGAAGAAGAAGATGATTTTGGAAACATGCAAGTGGCGACTGCACAGAATGGCTGACTTGAGCAACATTAGAGAGGATGTGAATTTCTATTTGGGAAGGAGAAAATACTAGAGACAGTAATAATGTAAAATGGTAAAAACACAAGTCGTTTTGTTTTTTTTAATTATATGTTGCTTCCAGGCATGTTTCTCTGCAACTTGTTGAGCAACATTTTAAGATGTTGGACTTCTGCAATAGATGGTACTGATGGTTTTACTCCTTTCTTCATTTTCTTTTCTTTTTTTTTACTCTTTACATAAGTTTTATTATAAACCAAGAATTTTGGACTTGCAAAGAGGTATTATTGCAATAATGCACTTTTCATACTTGAAATTTATTTGCATGATATAAAGTTATTACTTTAAACAAAATGCAAGTTGGGGGGATTTGTTTATAAAATCTGGGTAATTTATAACAAGAATTTCCTAAAGTGTGCTAAAAATTCATTTTGTGTTCTATATATCACATTTTAAAAATAATTTTACAGTGCATTTTTATGATGAAACCTCTTCTGGAAACATTAACAAATACAGGAATCTGCCACATTTCTGTTTTAGTGTACTTCAGTAGCTTCATTACCCTTTTATTTTTTTAAACTTAATACCTTATTAATAATCTTTGAATCATGACATTAGCTAACTCTTCTTACTTTAACATGATCGAAGTATTGCTTCCATTCCTATTATCTTCCTAATTTGTTTATGCTATAGAAAAAAAAGTTTAATGAACAAAGGAAGATATTTTGCTTGGTAATACCAGATACTAAAAAACAAGGAGTTTTAGACTTTTGAGTCACTTTCCTTTTTTCTTTAAGAGCCAAATGTTGTCTTTGTTCTTTTTAGAGTTGTTTAGCCCATTTTTTCTTTGTCCAAAACAGTTCTAAGTAGAATAACCAATGTAGCACTATTTTTTTTCTAAATGAAGCCCAAAATAGTGCCTTGCATCAATTAAAAAATAAAATAAAAGTATTTAGACCACTCCATTTTCATTTATTCATCATATTTAATTCATTCGTGGGCTAGGTACTGTGGATAGGTCCCTGGCCTCCAGAAGCTCAACAGTCTTGGAAGAAGTAGTAGTACAAAAGAGATTACAAATATAATGTGTTAGGACAGAAATGAGCAGAAATCCAATCAGTAAATTCTTCTGATAGAAATTAACTTCAGAAGTAGGTGTAAGGCCTACAAAAAGGTAATGGCATTCCAAGTACAGGAAATTGTATATATACCTACTGTGTTTGAAGTAAATTATCAAGGGTGTGACGGTGTATTAGCTTCCTATTGCTTTTGTTAACAACTTACCACAAATTTAGTGGCTTAAAAACACAAATTCATTATCTTATAGTCTATAGGTCACAAATCAAATACACTCTCAGGAGGCCAAAATCAAGGTGTTGGCAGGGCTGTGTTCCTTTTTTAAAGTCTTAGGGGAGAATCTGATTACTTGCCTTTTCCAGCTTCTTTAGGCAACCTATATTTCTTAGCTTTTGGCACCCTTCCACCTTCAAAGCCATCAATAGCCAGTTGAGTTTCACATTAGATTATTATGACACTGCCTCTTCTATCTCCCAGATAATCCAGGAAAATCCTTTTACTTTAAAGTCAACTGATTAGCAACCTTAATGCCATCTGCAACCTTAATTCCTCCTTGTCATAAACATAACATATACATAGGTCCCAGGGATTAAGATGTGGTCATCTTTGAGGTAACCATTACTCTGCCTACCTCAGATGGGAATAAAAGAAAATGAGGCTAGGATGGTAAGCAGGGGCTGGATCAGAAGGATTATGGATGTCTTTTGAAAAATTTCCGGCTTTCAGTTCTATAAATAACATGGTGCCACTGATGAGTTTTAAAGAGAAGGATAACAGAGATTTACATTTAGAAAGACTATCCCATAGATAATGTGTAGAAGAGAGATTAGAGTAGGGTATGACTTGAGAAAGAGCCCATTTAGAACGCCAGTGTGGTACAGAATACTGGTTAGCATCTCCAAGGCCAGAAGTAAAGCAGAGGCAGTAGGGTTGGGTGGGAAGGATGAATTATTGGAGAGATAATTAAGAGTTGGAATTGACCTACTGTGGTGATCAACTGATCTTAGTGGGTTAAGTTTCTTATTTTATGATAAGGTAGATCACGATTTCATTCACCAAACTAGTGAATTTTGAAGAGGAGACAGGTCAGAGAGATTTTCTGTTTACAGCTGTTGTTGCTACTGCTGCTGTATCAGCCATCAACTGCCTATCATTAGGCTTTTTAGGCCAGAGAGAAATCAATATCTACCTTTTTAAGCCTCTCTTATTTAAGCTAATCGTAACTCATACAAGAGGATTCCATGATCTCTATTTTCGTCGAGATACAAATATCCACCGGACCACCAATGTTATTCAATGCCTGATGCTAACTGTTATATATTATCTTAATGAGTCCTCACATGGATCTTCAGAGGTGTATTTTATTATTATACCCATCTTACAGCTGAAAAAACTGAGGCTTTAGGATATTACACTGCCCATGGTCTGCCAACTATTTACTACGCAGCCTTCCGTCACACAAAAAGTTTGTGCCCACCATGTCAGGTAATACAAATGCGATGGACTAGAAACAGGAAAAATAAGGTATAAGAATAAGGAGGAAGAGAAGAAACACATTAATATCCTTCTGAATCCCTTTGCTTATATTTCTCAAAAATTAAAAATTCTTTAAAAATTCAGGGACGATATTACCATTTTCACATCATTAATGTGTCTAGTTAACTTTACCTGGGCACAGATTGTCATAGTTGCAAATGACAATTTGAGCAGAGAACAGTGTTTACTTGAAATTTGAATCTTTCAGTGTGAAGAACCACAAAGGAAAACCAAAAAATGGAAGACCAAAAGGTAGAGTCAGAAGGAAGAGGGATGACAGGGTGCCTGGGCGGCTCAGTCAGTTAAGCATTCAGCTCATGGTTTCAGCTCAGGTCTTATTCTCAGGGTGGTGAGTTCAAGCCCCTCACTGAAAGAAGGAAGAGGGATGAGATGAGGCCCCCCTGCCCTGAATGATGAGGAAAGCCTCAGAACTTTTATTCTTTATCCTGTGATTCAGGAACTAGTTAGAAGGGTTTCATGAATATGCAAACTACAACGTGGCAAACTAAACACATTTTCTATAGTTTCTTCCTAAAAATCCATTAAATGACAGCTAAAAAAAAATTTAAAGGATATAAACCCTTGTTAGGGATTGGGCACCTCCCCAAATTCATATGTTGAATCCCTAACCCCACAATGTGACTAGATTTAGAAAGAGCGTCTTCAGGGAGGTAACTGAAGTTAAATGAAGTCATAAGAGTTGGGCCCTAATCTAGAGTATGAATGGTGTCCTCTTAAGAAGAGAAAAAGGGACACCCGGGTGACTCAGTCGGTTAAGCATCGGACTCTTGATTTTGGCTCAGGTATGATATCAGGGTGGTGAGATCAAACTTCTTGTTGGCTCCATGCTGGGTGTGGAGCCTGCTTGGGATTCTCTCCCTCCCTCTGCCCCTCCCCCACCAACCCTCCCAAACCCCACTCATGCTCTCCCTTTCTCTCTCTCTCAAAAAAAAAAAAAGAAGAAGAAGAAGAGAAAGAGACACCAGAGACCTCTCTCTCTCCAGGTGTACACAGCAAAGGGATTATGTTTGAACAGAGGATGAAAGTGCTGTCTGAAAGCCAGAGAGGTCTCACCAGAAACCAACCCCTATGGCACCTTGATCTCTGATTTCCAGCCTCCAGAGTTACGAGAAAATAAAACTTTGTTATTTAAGTCACCCAGTGAATGGCAGTGTGTTATACAGCCACCTAGAAGTACCCATGTGTATAAGACCTCACTCATTTGTATCAACAAAGCTCCCTATACATATCTTGCTTGAATTTCTCTAGGTAAAATTACATCAGATTTAGTGATTTACTAATGAATTCCATACAGGGGTCAGAGAATTACATTCCTTAAAATCACATAAATTATGTAACTTTTGGTTTTGAATTTTTTGAGTTATATTTATATTATCCCCAAAACTTACATTTTTAATATACTGTTTTTACTTAGTCCAGTAAGAACTTCAATTTTTTTTCAATATTTATTTCCTTCAGCAAATTTTATACTGAATATTTTACTCTCCAGGAGGCATGTGTCAGATCAATGTGAAAAGTAAGTTTTTAATTTTACCTGTTAAGTCCATCTTCGGCTTCTGGTTTCAGCCTGTAGTATAGTTGGGAATGTGGACAACTTATAAAGCTTCTTTTCCTCACTTATACAGAAAACTTGTGCACTGAGATCAAATTTCCATCAACCTAAAGAGTGACAATACAGAGTGAGATTTAATTGATAAAGTGTTCTATACTCAGACCTGTGAATGAAGTAACATTCATATACCATATACATTTTGAGTTCTCAGGAATCTGGTCCCACCTCATTTCTAAATACATACTGAACAGAGCAGAGAAGAGGTTAGTCTACTCAGTAAACTGCAAGAGAAGTATTTAATTGCAATTGCTCAGTGAATTCAGATTATATGTAAAGTCCTTCTGGATCACTCAGGATCTGAACAACATATTTAGTTAAATGATATTTATTATCATAATTTCAGCAGATTAATATTAGAGAAAATATTTTTTCAACTAAAACCAGGAGAAGAACAGTGGGAAAAAGAAAAATAGGCAAGATTTATATGAGCAACAGTGTAATGATGATTAGCAGCTATGAAATCAAGAATTGTGTGCTCCTTGAGGAACTTATTTCGTATGAGACTCACTGGCTGAGCTCTCTCAGCATATACAGCAGTGATTTGTTTGTTTGGGATTGGCCATGTGCCTGGCCTAATTTACATGAAATTTACTCTACTTTGCTGCCCAGGATTCTAAATTTGGTCTATTTTCCAGCTTCTGAAGTAAATATATAAAGCACTTTTCATTCATCAGTATCCTTTAAGGAGTTTCTTTCAAGGATCAAAACTGCACATAATTCTGTTCAAATTCTAGTAATTTGCTAATTCCCATCTAATTTCCATTGGCTTTGGGGGATTTATTTATTTATTTATTTATTTATTTATTTATTTATTTATTTATTTATTTTTAAAGATTTTATTTATTTTTTAGAGAGCAAGCGAGAGAGAAACAGCATGAGAGGGGAGAGGGTCAGAGGGAGAAGCAGGCTCCCCGCTGAGCCAGGAGCCCGATGTGGGACTCGATCCCAGGACCCTGGGATCATGACCTGAGCCGAAGGCAGACGCTTAACCATCTGAGCCACCCAGGCGCCCCTGGGGGATTTATTTTTAACCTGGGTCTAACATGCTTATCGACAGCATCCAACCAAAATAGACAGCAATACATCTAAGTTTCATCACAAGTTTGAGCATGGTTTTGTAAAAACACTGCACTGATCTTATTGGCACATTCAAAAATTCTACTAGAAATAGTTAAATCCCATTATATCTAAGCATTTACTGTTGACAGGGCTCTTTATTACCCTGAATTTCAATTTTCAAAGAATCTTCTTATTCTACATCTAGAATCTTAGTGAGATAGAGCATGGACACACCCATTAATGGTCACCCAGTTCCAAAACTTTCGTGTGACACATGTGGCCCAGAGGGTCGAAATGATATGTCCAGGGCCACACAAACAGCTGGTGGCAGAGTTCTAACTCCTCACCTGCAGTCAACAACTTTGTCACACATGGCTAAGCCCACAACACTCTTGCTGGTACAGTTTCTGGGTAGGCTTCCTTATTTAGAAAATAAAAACACTGCTGGGGCACCTGGGTGGCTCAGTTGGTTAAGCATCTGCCTTCGGCTCAGGTCATGATCCTGGAGTCCCGGGATCGAGTCCCACATTGGGCTCCCTGCTTGGCAGGGAGCCTGCTTCTCCCTCTGACCCTCCCCCTCTCATGCTCTCTGTCTCCCATTCTCTCAGATAAATAAATAAAAAAAACCTTAAAAAAAAAAAAAGGAAAAAGAAAATAAAAACACTGCTAAAGCAGGAGTTGGGTTATCATTCTATACTTGCCGTTATTATTTGTCTGAAGTCTACTGACCGCCTGTCACAAAGGAAGTCTCGAGGCTCAATTTCTCCTGACTCAAAATAAGATTAAAAGAAATATGAGGTTTGGGTACTTGAATGAGATTTTGCATCTAGAAGATAAGGCTGCAAGAAAACTGGAATTAAACTGGTATTCACCCCAGTCCTGCTCCCAGCCCTAAGTCAGCTCAGGGAGCCCTGGGGAAGGGGAGAGAGGAGAAAGGCACCTTCATCTACCAAATGTCAGAATGACCTGTTTCTTCCTTTCCACTACACTCTTTTGGGTTAGAAAGAGTAAAAGAAAACCAAAATTGTTGAGGCATCCTGAGTTCATCTGGCATTAATTTCTGGAGGCATGTATCAAACCAGAATATCCCACTTCTCTTACAGAAAGGATACAATTAAAGACTTATGCTGAATTTTTCTGGCAAAAAAAAACCTGTCTTTTCATGTGCAAGTAATTTCTCCTACATCTTGGGAGCTATAAATATGTATGGTAAGTATGAAATTTACTCCATACTCGTAGGTGTAAGAAAAGCCATGTTCTTAGGCGCCTGGCTGGCTCAGTTGGTTAAGCGACTGCCTTCAGCTCAGGTCATGATCCTGGAGTCTCAGGATCCCACATCAGGCTCCCTGCTCAGCAGGGAGTCTGCTTCTCCCTCTGACCCTCCCCCCTCTCATGTGCTCCCTTTCTCTCTCATTCTCTCTCTCTCAAATAAATAAATAAAATCTTAAAAAAAAAAAAAAGCCATGTTCTTTGTGAACAAATTAAATCTCATCCTAAGCCAGCACTCCTTAAGCTGATGGAAATTTAACCTCAGTCAATAGTGGGGCCACGTCCTTGTCCCCAAAACAAAAATTACAGGTTTTACACAGTCCAGAATACTCACGGACAACTCTCTGATCTTTGGTCACTGCTGACAGGTTCTTTGTCTAAGACGACAGGGTCACTTGCAGGAAGGTGGTTCTGCTGCTTCCTCAAACTTACCTCCCAGCTGCAGCTGGGGCTCCTTACCAAGGCTAGGAGCCCCAACACAAAGGTTCAGGTACCCACTGTACCACAAAGCCATTCCACACTAAAGACAGGCCACATCCCCAGGAGGTTACAATGGAGCAGCACAGAGGAACTGGATCCTGGTCCCCACTACTCCATGGAGCTCTCCTCCCCAAATAATCTCTCTTTGAGGTTCCCATGGTAGACTCTCCCTCCTGGGTTCTTGCCTCTCTTCCTTCTTGAGACCACCTAGCATGAGCCCTTCCAAGAATTTACCTTTGAAAAACAGAATGCAATTGTACTGCTTTGATCCTACTGAGCAAAAACTCAAAGAAAGAAAACAGAAAAGCATTCTTGGAATAGGGCAGGAAAACAGAACAAAAGGCAAATTAATATCTCAGTAAATTATCCTACCACATGTGTCTTTTTGCTAAATTATTTGAAAGCAGATACAGAAGAGGCCACTTTCTCCATCCCTCTTCACGCTTCTGAGGTGTGCCTCCTCCAGGCACAAGTTTAAAGCAATTTGTGACTAAACTCTGAGGTCAAGAAGCATCCTGGGACAGTTTCTAGACAAATGGTTTCAGGCAGTTTCTAGACATTTGGGGGGCATCCTTGCTAATATTGTGCTCTTATCAGTTTTAGGGACCTAGAAGTGAATTATCATATGTCCCCTAAGTCAGTGAATGAGACTACCATCTAGCTAAGGTTGCTACATGTCTTTTCTTTTTTTTTTAATTTAAATTCAATTTAAATTAAATCAATTTAATTTAAATTTAAATTCAATCATCTTTACTTTCAGATGTAGAGTTCAGTAATTCATCAGTTGCATATAACACCCAGTGCTCATCACATCATGTGCCCTCCTTAATGCCCATCACCCAATCACCCCATTCCCCCCACCCACCTCCCCTCCAGCAACCCTCAGTTTGTTTCCTATAGTTAAGAGTTTACATGTCTTTTCTCTCAACAGCTAGCCCACCACCAATTCCACACTTTCCAGACACGCTGAACTGCTTGCAATTCTCCTAAAAGACATACTCTCTGAGCTCCAGGCTTTTGCACATGTGACTCCCTCTGCCTAAAATAACGTGACACCAGTTTTTCATATTATAGTACACACACAGAAAAGGATAGTAGTTGTACAACATGCAGTGATAAACTGGAAATGATTTGGTTAATCTATATAGGCCTTGTTGAAAAAATTTCAGTAGAGAAGATATATAATAAGATATCAAAACATTTTCATGAGAAACTTTAGCTTGCTCATTTATACATAACTGTTCTTTTTATTTTAAAATAATTCCAAATTTACTTAATAGTTGCAACAATAATAGTATAGTATAAATAACTTTTTTCCTGGAACAGTTGAGAGTTAATTGCCAACATGATGGATGCCCCAGTGCCCCTGCTAACACTTCAGTGTATAATTGCTATAAATAAGAACATTCTCCTACATAACCACAAGACAACCATCACAGTCAGGACTAACGGTGATCCATTACTATCAACTAACCCACAAGCCCAGTTCAAGTTTTAACAACCGTCCCAATGATGTGAAAGGTTCAAGGCCAGGAACACACGTTGCGTTTAGTTTTCATGTCTGCTAAAGTCTCTTTCAGTCTATAACAGTTTACCAATCTTTCCTTGACTTTGATGCACTTGACTTTTCTAGAGATCATAAGGCCAGTTATTTGTATCATGTCCCTCAGTTTGGACTTGTCAGATATTCCCTCATCATTAGATTATTTATTTCAGGCAGGAATGTCACTGAGGTGACATGTGCACCTATCAGGCAGCACATGATTTCTATTTGTCTCATTACAGGTAATATTAACTTTGATCACTCAGTTAAGGTGATATCTGTCAGATTTATCCACCATAAAGTTCCTTTTTACCCCTTTGTAACTACTAATTATTTTATAGGGAGGTATTTTGAGACTACAAAATATTCCCTTCCACTACTTTTTAATATTCACTGATGCTTCTTGGCTGAATTAATTATTACTATGATGTTATCGAGAGAGAGAGCACGCGTGGGCATGCTTGCACACACACAGCAGGGGGGAGGGGCAGTGGGAGAGGGAGAAGCAGACTCTCTGCTGAGCAGGGAGCCCAACATATGGGGCTTGATCCCAGAAGCCTGGGATTATGACCTTAGCCAAAGGCAGACGCTAAACCAACTGAGCCACCCATGTGCCCCATATTCAATTGTTTATATCAGTATGGACTCATGGGTTCCTACATTATTCAATGGGTATTATTATATCCCATCTATTCAATGGGATAATCTGATATTATCATTATTTATTTTGATGCTCAAAAGTATCCACCGGAAACTCATTCAAACTGACGTCTGCATTCTTTTAATATGTTCCCATAACTCCTTAACTACTTTTTACTTTCTTGCCTAACAAGATATTTCTGGCTCATCTTGGACTTTCTCTGCCCTGTCCTGAAATGAGCTACATCTCCAAGAAGTCTTGGTTCCTTTTAGTGGAGAATTATACTTTGAAATCTAAAAAGGGCACTAGATGTGTCCTATTTTAGGGGTACTGCTGTTCTCAGAGATGGGGAATATATGTATGTATACATACACATAATATATTATTTATACACATATATTATATGTATATTATCCATGCATTTACATCAACATTTCTTCATTTAGCTATCAAACCCTGAGTTCACGTCACTACTTCCAATTCCAATCCAATATCACAGTTACTACAGTTTTTTTTCCTATTCCATATTTAGAATTCTCTCCTCTAACAGTGAAAAACTTGGCTGCCATTATCCTCAATATATTTACTTATTGATTCAATCCTGCCTGTGAGTAATCAACTTTCTGCCCTGCTACCACCCTCTCACAAAGAAGTCCTCCTTATCCTGTTCAGACTCTGACACATTGCTGGCCTATCATTGCTGTCACATGCCCCTCTCATGTAGATGCCCTCCTCATCCTACCGGGCTTCAATACCCCATGCCAGGTGACCACCACCTTTCTGCACAGATTCCCTCCCCACCCCAATCAAGCTCTGACACATGGTGCCAGGCCGGCAAGCACCCTTCTCACCCCACTTAGGTAGTAGCCAACATTTACCAATGAGCTACCAACTCCGCCTCCCAACCTAACTGCCTTCTTTTTCTCCCTCAAGGTCCAGATTCTTGTGCCAGATCCCTGCTGTCATCATCATCCTGTGCAGAAAACCTCCTCACCTCTCTCGAGCTCATAACAACCATACAGGCTGCTACCATCCTCCCCCTCATAGACTCCCTCCTCTCTCCATCAGGCTCTGATATGACAGATAGCCGCTCCCCCACCAACTTTGATGCAAATGCCTACTTTGCTCAGCCCTAATTTTTTTTATTGAATTATTTAAAAAGGAAGAAAGGAAGGAGGGATGGAAACAGGCTACATGCAATTTCTGCTAGAGAAATTTTAATGATAATCTCTTCAATTTTTGACATTCACCATCCACAAGAAACTTTATTCATGGATAGGTGGATGAAAATTTTAAAATTTTTTATAAACATTCCAAAAATGAACCTCAATTGAAATTATAGCTAAAGACTCTTTTCTTTTATCGGCAAACAAAAGCATCCCAGGCAGAGGGAAGAGCTAGTGCAAAGGTCCCAAGAAAGAAAGAAATCCAGCAAGCAGGAAATTACTGAAAGAAGAGGTCAGTGCTAGGAAAGATTTCTTGTACTAATGCAAAAGGATTTCAAATGCAATTAAATCAAAAATTCATATCAAAAATTTTAGGGGCACTTGGGTGGCTCAGTCATTAAATGTCTGCCTTCGGCTCAGGTCAGGATCCCAGGGTCCTGGGATCAAGCCCCATGGCAGGCACCCTGCTCAGCGGGAAGCCTACTTCTCCCTCTCCCACCCCCCCTGCTGGTGTTCCCTCTCTCGCTGTGTCTCTGTCAAATAAATAAAATGTTTAAAAAAAAAATTTTTTAGGGGCTCCTGGGTGGCTCAGTTGTTAAGCATCTGCCTTCGGCTCAGGTCATGATCCCAGGGTCCTGGGATCGAGCCCCGCATCGGGCTCCCTGCTCCGCAGGAAGCCTGCTTCTCCCTCTCCCACTCCCCCTGCTTGTATTCCCTCTCTCGCTGTGTCTCTCTCTGTCAAATAAATAAATGAAATCTTTTAAAAAATGGGAAAAGAATCTAAATAAACATTTTCCAAAGATGACATACAAATAGCCAACAGGTGTTTGTTGAGCACATGAACAGCATATGAAAAGATGTTCAACATTACTAATGATCAGAAAAATGCAAATCAAAGCCACAGGGAGCTATCATCTCATTCCTGTTAGAATGGCTAATATCAAAAAGACAAGAAATAACAAGTGTTAAAGATGTGCAGAAAAAGGAATTCTTGTGCCCTGTTGTTGAGAATGTAAATTGGTGCAGCCGGTATAGAAAACAATGCGGAGGTACCTTTAAAAATTTTAAATAGAACTACCATACAATCTAGCAATTCCACTTCTGGGTATTTATCTGAACTCTCCAAAAGCTATCTGCACCCCAATGTTCCTTACAGCATTATTTATAATACCCAAGACATGGAAACAACTTAAACATCCACTGATGGATGAATGGATTTTTTTTTAAGATTTTATTTATTTATTTGACAGGGAGAAAGAGAGCACA